TCCTTCTTTTAAGGCACTACAGATTCCCTTCAAAAGGTTTCCACATTTCCAATCTTCAGCTCCCAAATGGGTGAAACTGTTTATTTTTCTTAAACTTGTAGAGTCGCTGTTTTCTTCTAAATACGGCTCCCAGTGGAGTTGGAGGAATTGTTGTCTTCCAGACGGAAGGCGTTGTTGGGTCGGCTATCACTAGACTCAGTGGGCATGTACAAATATTCCTTTTATAAGAAGTGTAAGATTTAGTGTCATTAACAAATTTGTCATTAACAAATTTGCATTCTCAGATTTCTTCATTTGTATTTTTAAAACACAGTGATTTGCAGCCTGAAACAGCTGAGCAGCGTGCCGTCGACTCAAAGCCGAATTACACTTTTTGCGCGGCGCCGCAGAGTTTGCAGCGGCAGACGGTGACACGAGCCGGGATAAGCAGAGGGTTTTGAGTCACCTCTGGAGCATAAATTTTTCACAAAGATTTGAAATATTCATGGTGCTCAAAACACACTTTCACTCCCCTGGACCTGCAGCTAAAGTTCAAATGTAACCGTGTCAGGGAATCAGCGACACAAACGTGGAGCAACCTCTGACATCAAGCCTTCCTATAGACCGGAAAGTCACTCAGTTTTATTTTTTGTATTTTTTTCTGTATTTTCAGTGACTAATTTTTTATATTATTATTATTTACCTCTTATAAAAAAAAGAATACAATGGTACAAAAAGCAATTTGTCATGAAGAGCCTGTGTGTGCTTTATGTGCTAAGCAGTAAGAAGACATACTGAGATACAAAATGACTCAGGATAATCATCCTTTCTGTAATGCAACTACATAAAGAATGGCGTTCAACAAAAATAGACATTATTGAAACATGAAGCAAAATTTTATATTTAGTTTTGTATGCTAACCCTATTTCCTTGCAGGAGGGATCATTAAATATTCGTTCAATGTGAAAACGGAATCCTTTCAAAATCTCAATTTATTAAACATAATTGGATTTTGAAAAAAAAAATGAAATGTGGTACTCAATTGAATATAATTTCTCCCATAAAGCCATACAAATGAAGGTACATTTCTGGGCTATGTGGGTATTAAAAATGCAACAGAAACCCCCAAATTGAGATCATTTGCTTTTTTCATCTTTAAGAATTAAGTCATTCTTCACTTACCCCTACCTTCCCTGGAGCTAACCAAACCAATAGCATAGCTAAATAACAATTTAATATCCGTTTTTTTAGACTAACAGTGGCACTCACCGGAGAGCAGAGATATTCTCTACAATAGGAACATTACCATCATCTCATGTGGATTAAAAAAAAGAGTAAGGCATCCCACACTCAAATCTTTCTTAAGATCAATAATAACAACAAGAACAACATAAACATGTTTTACAGCCTTTTCGGGTGGAAGAGAAAACAGAAAGTGCCCCCAGGCACCACAAGAGTGAGTTGCTGTTTGAAGAGGTGAGCAGATGCTCCGCCGTCAGAGGGAATCACTGTCTCTGCCCGGCAGATGGAGGCCCACATTCTCTGCCGCACCAACAGCGCTTCCCCGACATTAGAAGCAACAAATCAATGTGACTCACTGCGTCACGCTATTACTCTTATCCGAGCACACGGCACCTGGGGATCCCCGATGAGAGAGCATTTCAGTCTAGACAAGAGCTAAACACTGTCGTTCTGTTTACTGCGTCTGGCCACTTTCTCTTCCCGTGGAAAGTAAAACTCAACGCAAAAGCTGTGATTCAGGATTATTTACTGCTCTGATAAGTTGACAAAAACACACGTCGTGATCAAAAACTTCGTCTTGATTCAGATGTAGAAGGGATGCATTTGAGCTCCTCTTTTTTACAAGGTGGAACGACGACGGTACAGCTTCACTGAGCTTGAATGTGTTAATATTAATATCTTCCACGGCATCAACTCATTTTGGCATAATCACCACACTAGCCGAATTGGTGAAGTTTAACTAAAAAGACAAGTTCCTTTGTACAAATAGGCTTTTATTTATTGTTCATCATTTTTAGTAGCACTAAAGTTCATCACTCCTAAGCCAGAGTTGTTTGAGGTCACACTCCTGTTCGATCACCAAATAGTTTCCAAGTTTCAACCATCTGACCCAAAACGTCATCATGGGAAGTAGAGAAAACATAAGAGATGGATTTAGCCACAGAGACAATAATGATGTCAAGAAAAACTATGAGCCGTAAAGAATGATGGACATAATATGACGTTGAGGGTTTGTTTCAGCACAAGAGGTACTGGTGCATTTCACACAGCAGTGTGTTTAACCGGGTTATACATACAAATACAACTTCCAGCTGGTTTTGGAACCCATAAAAAGGCTAATCTTAAGCTTCTGACATTCTTCCAGTCTAAGTTGTATCCAAAGCTACCACGAAGTAATAGTGCAGTAAAATCAACAACAGATATTATAGGGAGTTGAATCTAAGATTCACAGCAGTTTACAATACAAGAAAGGCTGAGTCATTATTATCAATCTGAAGATTCAGTTGATGATCAAAATATCCTGGCATAACTCAGGACAAGCCACCCCAGGTTTCCCCAAGCATCAATATGCTTCTTAATTACATGAACCAACGCGTTTTGCTTTAGTCTTATAAAAACAGGAAACATCCATAAAGCTCCGAGCTTATCTATATTCTCCAATCACAAAAAAAGCAGCTGACACATATAAAGAAAGCATAATCTGGCATTTAATGACCGTTGACATTAGCCACTCAGAGAGGATTTCAGCTGCTGAGATGTCCCACATTATCGCTCAGAGGGATCTTTATTACAATACATCTGCAGGGATGATAACAATGAGCTTAAATGTCATCATTCTGTAGCCGAGCTGTCTTACAGAGAAATGTCTTTGGAGGTGGTTTCATAACATTTTCTAAACCTGAAGACAATTGAGATCCGTTTCTCTCCGGCACTCAGAAATCTGCCGCGGTGATGCTATTGCACACTTATAGAACCGGGTGTTATTGAGTTAAGGCTTTGATGTATAATCTCTGGGGTTTTTTTTGTTTTTTTAAATGTCAAGATGCCCACGCAGGTCTGCTTGTTATTCCATTAATGTGAAAAAAATCTAAAGTCTCAAGTTTGAGATGCTTCTCTCAGATGCAGTGAATGCTAAGCATCTTTATTGGATAAAGTAATCCGAGTTAAAATACGACCCCTGTTTTGGCTCAAAACATTTCAGTGTCATGTCGGTGCTGGTCTTACTACCCCTTAGGCTCACGTCTGGTTGCTCTGGGAAAACAAACCAGGTTTCAAGTCAATAATCACAAACCTTAAATTGCAATCCCGTGTCACCTGGCCTGCCCACTGAAGGAAGCTGAATATTTCCAATCAGGACCAGACCAGATGGTGTCACCACGAAATATCCACAAAGACCATCTGCTATCGCTTGATAAATTCTATTCTTACATCCAGGTAAATGCTATGTTTGACAACCGCAGCTGGTTGAAATGACTTTAGCAATCCCTGCAACAGATATGGAGAATCTCTGTACATTAAAAAAATAATAATACTTTTTGGGTGTACTACATCATTTTGAAAAATGATTAAAAGCTTGATGAACCATATTTGTACAGGCAATGTTTGGTACTTAAAAGTTTAGTAACAACATTTTTGGTAATTGACAATAAAATTGCATTTAAGAGCTGTGAACATATTGAACATTTTTATTTTAAATGCATGCAGCATCATACTGCTGACAGAAGTTTTTCTGTGAAAATGTTTTATACTACCAAATGATTGATAAAATATATATATGTATCAATTCCCAGTTTATATTTTGAATGATGCCAACAGTCTGAATGAGAATAAGATTTTACAAGCTTAAAATATTAACTCCTGCTGAAATTTCAGGGTCAGAGTTGATTTGATGATTGATGGAGCGAAATCCAGGGCAATCATGGAATTACATGTTTAGCTTGAGACTCGGACCAAGGTTCACTGTGAAGGAAGAAAACTAGCCTCGCACCCCTAACATGCAGCCAGCGCTGCCAATGAATGGTTTTGGATCAAAGAATGACCTTGTCAAAGAATTGACCTTAACCCGACTGGGAAGCCGTGACTAGATTTGAAATTCGATTTCTGCAGATGCCCTCAGTCTAACCCATGCTTGAGCTATTTTATAAAGCAGAATGAGAGAATTTCTATCTCTAGATAAGCCAAGTCTGCACAGACATGAGCCTAAAGCCTCGCTGTCGTATTTGCAGTGAAAACTACCTTGAGGAGGCATTGACCTGCAGGGCGCTAAATGCAATGGGTGATCCACATGTCTCAGATTTTTATTTATGAAACAAAAAAGTTACAAAATCATCTATGCTTTTTCTTCTGCATTACACAAAACACTTGAAAAAACAGTGTGTGTGTATGTGCAAAAGTTCTGTCATCTATTGCGAAACCAGAGAGTAATTAAAGAGTAATTAAATCCATTCTTCTATTTATTTTGAGTTAGAAATGAACTTTTTTGTGCACTACGTGTTTAAAAAAAGGGTTGTATCTTATTTATGTCTAAAGGAATTTATATACATTGATAAAAGAAAATCTTCTGAAATAAAATATGCACAAGCATCGCATCACAGCTAGAAGCCTGGGGGTGGATTTATCAGTCATAATCTGGATAAGACATCATTTCAAGCATGATTTTGTGCAACCAGCTAATGAGAGCTCCACACATTCCCACTGGACGTAATGTCGGTCGGGGCTTTTCATTGGGGTCACATTAGACTGAGTGATCCTCATTCAGAGCGTGCTCTGAGAGATGATGCTCATTGTGTGCACGTTGCTGTACGGCACACATGAGGACAGCAAACAGAAAATATACAAATATACAACATGTATTTCTAATTATAGTCTGTTTCTCTCCTCTTTTTTAATTTTTTTAATTTATTTTTTGGCTTATTTTTGTCTTTCTGAAGACTGCTGCGGGCGGACGCTTCAAGACGAGCTCCGTCGACAATAAGGACACAGAAGAGAGTCACACTCACCCAGAAAGGCCATAAATAAAAGTTTCGGCGCGACGAACTCATTTGTATCCATCACGCTGCGAGGACCCGGTCGGACTGGGACAGAACCATCAGCGGCGGCTCCGGGGAATCGGTATCCCACATCGACCCGTCGTTGAAATCATCCCTGCGCGAGCGCGTTCAGTCGGTCAGGAGCCAAGACGGCGCGTGACAGATTCAAGACAGGAGAGGAAGATTTTATGTACATACATACAAGAAAAACGCAGGCAGAGAAACCAGATTTCGGAGGCGCGACTTCTTCCAGTCTGAGAGACAGAGTCTCTCTTTCTCTTTCTTTCTCTCTCTCTCTCTCAGCCGTCAGGAGTCACAGCTCAGGACCGCGGGAGGCGAGGATGATGATGATGATGATGATGATGTTGGGGGAGGATGGTGGGGCTCCACCACAACAGCAACAAATAAAAAAAGATTGAATTATTCTCTCTCACTCTGAGAAGTTAACGCTGAACATGCAGCCAATGACAAGAGGGCATATAGATCAATCATCCAATCAAGGTTTATGACCCACCGTCCAAAATATTGGTGGATACTGTTTCAGTGTCGCAGAGTTGATTCAAATAAAACTTGCTTGTAATGTACAATGATTTAGGTTTTATTTATGTATTTTTTTTAGGTTTTCGAAATGTAATCGTCCCGAATTAGACTGATCAAGAGGAGGCCAGCTTCGGCACGCCGAGCCGCATCCACAGTGATACACAGAACCACACTGACCTCTTGTGGTTTCTCTTGGTATTACGCATCCCTCAACATTGGGCTTGAACTCTGGATTTCAGTGTGAAATTAAAGGGGCATTTAGTGGTTTTTAAAAGTCAGAATTAGTTGTGCAGAGGCGCACAGCACAAATAGACAGTTTGTTTCTGGTGTTCTGACAAACAGCATGTCAAGTTGTTGAGAGAATGAGGTTTCGCTTGGGAACGTTGAGTCGAATGATGGATTACAGTTAGCATCTTTAAGCCATGGCCTTCTGTTCATGCTGGAGTGAGAAACAGCAGACTGTGGCACGCCACTGCCTCCAACCTTCATTTCCTGTGTAAATAATCATTGACTTGTGTGAAAATAACCACCTAATGCAAGCAGCGCAACGTTTTAACGTTTCATTGAGCGGTATTTGCATAAACCTGCCGTGTTTGAGTCTACTTCAGCCTTGTTTCATAGCTTTTAGGTCATCTCTGTCATGCTGCTTACCAAAAATATTCAAAAGCTTCCTTTCCTTTTGTCTTTCCCATTTTGAAGAGTGGCCATAGGAGATAATGGCCTCGGTATCAAAAATAAGTGACAGATTACAAACCTAAAGTTCTTCAAAACCCAGATGAAGCTGAAAAGTTGCGTCTGAATCAGAATATGTTACTCAGTTTATTATGTTTATTAGTTGCATAAGGTATAAGTTCCCTCATACCTGGTGCCAGATGGTGGATTCATGTGCAAATATCTTCACAATAAAACATTGACACAGTTGTGTCAACAACAAGCAGGGGTCTTTGGCCAAAACATTAGAAATGTCAGCTTAAATATCTGCAGTGTTGTCCTTACTATTGCAAAGTGATTAGATGTAGTAAGAGGGAATAACACTGGGATGCGAAGAAGTGGTCGGGGAAGGAAACGACCAAAGGAAGCGACCTGCAGTAAAGGGACGGGGCCCATCTGTGTCTCCGCCGTGGTCACCTGTCAGTCACCGGAGAGGTGTTGCACTTTAACCCTGACTGCATGTCTTCGTGGCATCTGTGCTCGCTCCACGTTCCCAGCGGATTCCTCGGCGCATTTTTAAGATGCCAAGCTCTCCCGTCCTGAATGCCAAGCTCCTACTGAACCGGTTAAAATAGGATGTCAACAAGTGACGCAGCAGAGCTCGAGCTCAGAGTTGCAGGAGGAGGAGGAGGAGAGACAACGACGCCTCGGTGCGCCACAGCGAGGACTGCATGGACTCCAACTGCAAGGTAGCTGAAAATCACTTTAAAACTCACTTTTACCAGACTGTTTGTGGTAACTGTGTCACGGCCTCGCTTCCCACGGTGTTCTCACGCGACCCTGCGCACTCGTTTAAGCGTCCGTGCGGCTTTTCCCGCAGCGATTCGAGACGGGTTATCGCGAAGGGAGACGAACGCGCGCCAAACTTCGCTTGGAAAAACTGCGGTTTTGGAAATGCGAGGATCGCCTGGACAAAATCCGAGTCGCGTCGTGCAAATTAAAGCTGTGATGGATTCGGGACTTCATTCGGGTGAATTCGGCTATGAAATAATCCTGTTATTTAGCATTTCATAAGTTGTATAATACATAGATTTATAAGACACCATAGTATGGAAACCTTCCTGAAATACTACGTGTGGGTTTAAGTGTTAAAAAGCTGTCTTCCTCATTTATTTTGGTCGGTTTATGGGTTATCTAATAGAATGTGACCCATTTAAGTTTCTAGCCTATTTTACTTGACAGCTCGCATCCATGAAAATAAATAACCTTCCCTTGTTGGCTCTGTGGTAGCTATGGACTTCCCAAAGTGCCCAAAAGTGGAATAATCATTTGCAGTTATTCGTATAATTCTAAAAAATAAACCTTAAAGATATCAGATTTGTCCATGGATATATAACATGTTTGTCTAAAACATCAATGTTTAGTTATTTTATGTTTATAAAAAGTCATTAATAAAGCAAGTCAAAAATAAGGATGCCGATTTTGCTTAAAGTCATCACAAATATTTCAGCACTTATTCAAATATTTGATTAGCTCATGCTTTCTGTGTTGTTTTAAATGGGGGAATTATTGAAGTTACTGCTTTTTTCACCAGATACATTCCAACATCTGATTTTTTTTTTATACCTTCAAAATTTGTTAATTTTAAATAATATTTATTAGAGCAGTAACTTTAATGGAAAAGACTGACCTGATGTATAAATTTATAATGTCCTTCAGCAAGCGTCAATAAATAATTAAATAAATAGTAAAATAATTATGTGCTGGAAAATCTTGACTTTTTTTCTCCCCATCATGTTCATGTCACTACATATTTATTAAATTATTTTGTACGCATTTATTTTAATCTTTAATCAAATCTACATACATTTAAGTAATGATTTATCTAATTGTCCTCTTATTGACTTTTGTCAATTTTAGATCCCCGTACTGCATGTGTAGCTGCATGCCTCTGTACACATATTTTATTGCAAGTACAAAGCACCGGCATCAGGTTGTGCTACTTCAGGGCACAGTTGTTAGCGTTTTAACCGACAAGCTGATACTCGCTCACCGATCTCTGCAGTTCGGCCATATATGCAAACACAATTAATGTCTGTGCATGTTAGAGATCGAGCTTCCCTTATCCTCCTGCTAATTCCTTCTGAACCAGCCCAGGGTGTACCAACGCATATAGACTGCAAAGCAAACAGTGTTTCTTTAAATTTAACCTGCGATGTAGGTGTGGCAGCATTGGGACAAGTCTCACTTTGTCCCGGCCAGTGATTTTGTTGACACTCGTGCAGATGTATCACAAACCCATTAGGTGGAAGCTCATTAGGCCGAAACTTAACCGGGATTTTAAGGAGTAAATCATTTGCAGGAGTTGATCCTTTGCATATGGCTCGTCAGAGCTGAGCGCACTCACCCGCACTTTTTTTTAGTCCTTTCAGTTATGTAAGTGCTAACTGGCAGCTTGTGCACACACCCACAGCGAAGCTGACCTCATGTGGGAAAAAAAAAAGGAAAACAGCAACATCTATTAGGCACATAATGCTGCAACCAAAATAAGCCTCTCGGTTACTCATCGGCTTACAGAGCATCAAAACAAAGAGAGATCAAGATTCTAGTCATGATAGATGTCTTTTTACATATCAGCTGTCAAATAAAGGCTGAAGTCTGTTTTTTTGTTCTGCTGTCATCAGCAGGTTAAGTGTGACTGATACGTTTAAGGTTTTCTCTACTCTAAAGCCAGGGACATCTGCAGTTATGGTTATATAGTCGATAGTTAAACAATTAATAGTCAAAATTAAAATGCTTAATTATTGTCCTTTTTCTCTAAAAATTATTCGGTAAAAAGGCAGCATTTTGCAAAATGTATTATTTTTTTTTACAGAAAATGCTGAAATTGCTTGGAATGACTGGAATAGTCTGGAATTTTGGGGGCCTTCATTTCACTCTTCCTCCAATTCCCTTTATTCTTGCACCATGTTTCTACACTATTACTTCTAACAGAACCTAACCACGTTTTTTTAGATAAAAGCATCTTTCTAATGCATAAACATAACTAAGGATGTCTAGGAACATTTAATGACATCTTAATTGCTTCCTGTTCCCCTAGGCCATCATTATGGCTTGACACCTAGACCCATTTGTCTCTTCAGATTTGAAAGTTAGAGAACACAACTTTCAGGTTGGAAAGAAAGCTGGGCACAGCAAAAACAAAGTTTTGTCATCTAAATTTGCCAAAATGTGATTCTGACAGCGATCAAAGAGGAATGAACCTATAATTGCCTCTTCCCACAAACCACATCAGCTTTATTAGCTGGTAAAACAACACACACATCTCTACACAGCCTGTGTTTCAGCTAATTATTCTGGCCCAACCTTGACGACTCTCCACTGTTGGGACTTGAATCCCTCTCGGCCCTTTAGTCTCCACAGCTGTAGGAAAAGGTCAGAAATATGGTATAATCGAGGCCAATCACAATGAATGACTGATGAGCATTGGGGCCCCTTGATCTCATCACCATTTCAGTGGGGAGCCTCTGAACCTCCTGTTACCTTTAATACTTTGATGTCAGATGCACATTTAAAGAAGGAAGAACCTAATGATGAGCAGTTGTTGCACCAAGTTGTCTTAGAGCTGCGACGAAGGTGCACTAATTGGAAAGACAAAGCAATTAAGCCCACATACCAGAGAAAGTTAACACACCCCATGTTGTGCTCTTATGTCGTTCCACCATCTAGGGACCAATTAGTAGGGAAGGGCGCCTTGCTTGAGGCAGCTGCAGTCCCTGGAACGAGCTAATAATTGACTGCCCCACCCTTTATTTTCTGTGGAAGCCCGACAAGCAAACTTGGCAACCTTTAGTGACCTCTAAACTAAGGATGCCTGAGTCACACTCTTACTTAAGACGGAGAGCTAATTAGTTTGTGTGAACGTCGATCTGATCCGCAGTGGCAGACGAGCCTTTTTCCTGCGAGAACACCTCTTCAGACGCCTTAAGGAAAATGAGGCGTAAGACGCTAAAGGTGTGTTATCCGTGGAACATTCTGAAAACATGAGGCCGTCTTTCCCCTCCTCCTTCCTCACCTTTCTCTCTGCGTCTCTCTTTCATGTCTTGTTCCAGCAGGCTTTAATGCACAATATTCTCGGGTGATGCCAGTAAATCACCCCTGAGGGCAAGGT